ATTTTAGTGAAAGTTTCATCCTTCAAGGCGTACCATTCACTGCTGAAATACTAAACAACCTGCTTCCATGGCCGAGATACAGGGCGCCCATATTATAAGGTAAGGTTATAAAACCACCATTTAAGATCATTTTAGTGAAAGTTTCATGTTCCTATCTCATAGAATTTAAGAACAATGATGAATAAATAATTTTCGAGCAAAATTTAAATGGCCGGCTGAATATATTACCGCAGGAGCCGCGGCCGCGGAATTTAAATGACCACGTCAAAGGGTTAATTCTGCACTTACTCCCACAATCAATTCTGCTGCTTTTATGAACATTCATAAATACAGAGGAAATTTAATTTGAAATATCAAATGGTAATAGAATTACTGGCATCGTGTATTAGTGATGGAATGAATAAAGCAAGTGTGGGAAATTTTGCTTGCAGTGTTCAATAACTTTTATTTTTCACTTTTTACTGTTGCTTATGTAAAACACATTTTACAATTTCCTGCAACTTTCTACTCCATATTTCTTATGTGTAAGCTACGCAGAAGCAAGAAACAAGTGATCTACAAAAGAAATAATTTCATTAGCTTACAATAGGACCATACACTGTAAAGTTCCCATTAATTTGTTTATCTCCTGTTTATATCTTACTTTAATTAATATGGGTATAAGACCCATGTGCTCATAACAGTGGCTGAGCAGTGTACGCATGAACTGTCTTCACTTGCCTGAATGCTGGGATCTTTGGTTCAAATATCACTCAAGGCATGGATGTCTCGATTGTGTGTACAGTGAAACTTCAATTCGTTTTTGTCGGGGGTCCTGAAAAAAAATGACGGTTGCGGGGCCTATATAAAATGAATGAAAACGATCACATTTGCCTATATGTATTAACTAAATCAGAAAATGTAAACCAGTGATAATATTTCCAATGTCAAGTCCAATTTGCGTTACTACTTTTTAAAAAAGTCATTAATTTTCATTTGTTTAGTAGCTGAATAATAATCTTTCATTATTAACAATGTTCACTTGGTCTCTTTCGGTGATGTCGTGAGCATATATGAACGCTCTCACGCGTTGCTGTCTACAGCAGCACTCTCCCCAGCCAATTTCTTAAATACCAGGCCGTGGCATTGCTTGAAGCGGGAGATGCAACCCTTTGAAGCTGAAAATTTCTTCGATCCCCATTGTTGAAGCTATTTTGAGGGATTTCTCCCACAGGATGGGCCTATCCACAGGTATGCCTGATGCTTGGGCCTGCTGGTACCAGGCAAAGATGACATTTTCCAGCTTGCTGTAGGTAGACTCCTTGCCCATCTTCCTCTTCTTGGCTGACGTACCACACTTATCAGCCAGCTTTCTGATCTCCCTTTTCTTTGCGATAATCGAATTTAGGGTTGATGATGGCAGGCCTAGTCGCTTGGCTATGTCAGTCCTCTTCTCTGATGGGGTCTTTTCCACCCCTTCTATAATGCGCAGATGTTCTTCTAAAGTCCGAACTTTTTTCACAGGAAACGCCATGTGGGAGAAAATTGTTGACACTAACAATGATACGAAGCACGTCGAGCATATCGAACACGTGATGGACTGTATACTCAACCAGGCGAGATCGTGAACTGAGTTGATTCACATGATTCACACTAACATACAGGAAAGTTTTCGTAGCTGGAAAGCTCTCGGCATCCCCTTATTGCTCACGCTCATTGTTTTGCTGGTAAGACATGCTCAAGGTCGCATACAACACATCTGATGGTATTGCAACTTGCTACACCACGTTTCAGAAACATCAACAGCTTTTACTACTACCAATGCTTACTAACATTTGTGTGGTGTTGCACTTTCTTAAAAACGATCAATGAGGGATTAACATTCATGGGGACCAAGAATTCCGACTGATAAATGCGGGAGAACTATAAATCGAAGAACGATCGATGCGGGTTTTATTTCCATAGTTTAAATAGGATTTGTTCAGGGACCACAGAAATTGAACGATGGATCTGGGAAAACGATATATCCGGGAACGATAGATCGAGGTTTCACTTAGTTATTCTGTGTTGTTCTGTGTGTATGTAGATGCCCTGCAACAGGCCGATCCCCTGTCCAAGGAATCCTACTGAATGTGTACAAGATCAAGAAACTGAAAAGCAGCCAAGGTGGAACAAAAAGGCTGTAAAGCCATAATAAATAAATAAATAAATAAATAAATAATAATAATAATACAACCCAGAAGGATTACAATGACTTGAGTGACATGATGGCAAAAGCTGTAGCATAAGCAAGAAAACCTGGCAATGGACAAGAAAACTCTTGTAAGTTTTGAGGTTTTCACGGCGATGACTATGAAGAAAGTCGTCTTCTGGGTTTAGGCGCCGTGTATTCTTCGTTTTGGCAGACGTTTCGGAGGAACGTATCGCCTCCATCTTCAGAGCAGTTGAATGGCTTGGAATGTAGAGAGCAGTAGCTGTAGTGATAGGAAGTGAAAGGCGCTGCCAAAACGAAGAATACACGACGCCTAAACCCAGAAGACGACTTTCTTCAAGAAAACTCTTCTTCCATTTTTTAGGTCTAACCACTTACTCTGAACTCGGTGCACAATATGACCTATGTGAGATTTAGGGAGGAGCTGGTTTGGGACCTTGCTGTTCTGTTCCATGAAGAGAGTAAGAAATGAGCAGTGTGCCAAGGTGTTGGCCCAGCAGTTCAGACTGAAACGGATCAGCCTGAAGTAAACATTTCTTGTTTTAGCCAGCCAAGGGAAAGGAGCAATGCGATCGTGTGTGTCCAACAAAGAATCAAAACAAAAAGAAGAGTGTACTCCTACAAGATGTGTAAATATAGTCTGCGTGCTGTATCAGGCTGTGACATACCAAAATCCAACTGCAACTGGAAATGACTGCATTTGAATCTAACAGTGTTGGGTGTGTAACATGATCTACAGCAACAAAGCAGACCTTCTCCTCACCTTGTGTGTGGTGTGCATAATGAAGTTCTAGGTCTACAGATCATAACTAGGGATTACGTGGGACAGAACTGAGGTTCAGCTTCAGTGGGCATCAAAGGAGGACAGTCACATTTTTAAGTTCATACATTTTCTGTAGCTCCCTCTTTTAACAATAATATGAATCTTGTGCAAAAACAAAAAAGCAAAACAAATTTTGATGGGAAATAATTAAATTTTTTCAAAGTATAAGGCAATAATTCCACTATTATATTGTTTTTTTGTTTCATTGAGGTAGGTAAATAAACAGTGGCAATATACGATGGGGTACCCAAAAGAAACCGAACTAATTTTTTTGTAGGCAGAGCTTTTGTAGTACCGCGTTTTGCCACTATGAGCGCATAGAGCTAACATTCCTGAGTCGATAAGCCGACTACCGTTGCTTCAGAAGGTAAGGACTAGTTTCGGCAGAGTTTATAGTGACAACTGTTTTGTGTGATCGTCGTTTTTGCAATGGTTGATTTTCGTGAACAGTGTGTGGCGGTGAAATTCTGCTTTTTGCTTGGGAAAAGTGGAACAGAAACTCTTGAAATGTTAAAAACGGCATACAAGGACAATGCTATGGGGAAAACTCAAGTATTTGAGTGGTTTTCCGGTTTCAAAAATGGTGAAATGTCAATTGATGACAAACCTCGTTCTGGTCGTCCTTCCACGGCCCGAACACATGAAAATGTTGAAAAAATTCGTGAAATCATCAAGGAAGATCAACGATGGAACATTGAAGAAATTGTGGAGCTGTCGGGAGTGACTTGGAGCTCAGCGGCCAGATTTGTGGCAGTTGGGTGACACGTTTTTCCATCATGACAATGCCCCTGCTCACACAGCCCTGTCTGTATGACAATTCTTGATCAAAAATGGTATGACCCCTGTTCCTCACCCGACCTTGCACCGTGCGACTTTTTTTTGTTTCCTCAAATGAAAAGAGACATGAAAGGAAAAAAAACGACGGAGGCGCTGTCGAGCATCTCAAAAGATGAATTTAAACAATGTTTTGAAAAATGGAATAAAAGACTAGACAATTGTATTAGTGTAAGTGGAGAGTACTTTGAAGGGGATTGAATGTTTGTGCTTACAATTTGAATAAATAAGTTAAAAAAAATAAGTTCGGTTTCTTTTGGGTACCCCCTCGTATATATTTCTATACTGGTGCAATCAGAATTTAAAACTACCACTTTATATTTAACCAAAATGCTTAAAAGGTTAAAAGCAACGTTGCAGAGGGTGGAACTGCACAAATCAAACATGAGTAAGCCAAATTTTCTTTCTCCCCTTGCATTCCTCCTCTATCAGCCACACAATACCCTTCCCCCTTTCCTTCTGCTTCTCTCAATTGGCCAGAAAGGAATTAGCATTAAAGCCAGTGCTATTAATTCAGAGAAGTCTAAATGAGTTCAGTGTATTAAGATGATATCACATTTTTCAAACTTGCACATAACAAACACTCGTAATATTCTAGTATTTGGCTTATCAGCTGAAGAAACCATAAAGACAGTCATTCACAATAACCACTCTCTGAGGTGAGATCTGAACACAGCACTTTTGGAGTACAAAGCAAGAGTGATAATCATTTGACCATGAGATTGTCAAATTAATCATCACACAAAATTAAATTAAAACTTTTGTTTTTTATTTCCTATTATATGTAACATGTTTTGACCAAAAAAGCTTATAATTGCATGATGTGCACAGATCACCCACAAGGACTCTTACAGTCAAAACTTGTAGTGTTCAGTAAAAGTAAAGGTAAAGTTCTCTGTATGCTTAATTAATTTAGCATCATGCCATGAGGACATGTGAGGGAGTGGAGGTATAGCTCTGCTGTTCTTGACCTCAGCATTAACTGATGGTTGAATGGTCAGCTCAATGCCCTGCAGCTTTATGCCCAGGAAAACAACCCCTGGTACCCATTCAATAGGAGGGTAGATCAGTCCCTGAGCCAGTGTCGATGCTGTAAAGAGGAAAACAATCTTGCCTCTGTCCAGCCCATAGCCCATCACTGTACTGACTGAGCTATCCCAACTCCTTATGTATATAAAAAACAAAAAGGTATTTGAAAACAAGTTTATATGATGCTAAATTTTAATGATATAAAGTGAACACAAACAACAATAACAACACCATCTATCTTATCAAAAAAAACTCGTCCATGAAGTTTGGTAGTTTCAAATAAAATTCCATACTTCCAAAATTCTTTCCCACACCCATAGAATTTCAAACTCTGAGCCTGGATATGCAAGATCTCCACCCACATTTTTGTGGCTAATGGAACACATCAGACTGAAATGATTAGTACAAGAAATATGCAAGAAGTCATTTTTCCTTACTGCCCAATTAGAGTTCCTTACTCCAACAATGCACAGAGCACAGATCTACAAACATGTCATATCATATCTGAAAGTAACAAAAGATGTAGTCTAGCACATTAATTTCTAGCACCTACCTTTTCAATATGTCTTCCAAGAAATATTCCTGAACATCATACTGTCGCCCAGGAACTAGAAACAAGGAAGAATACAAATTCCATTAAGTATCCTTTATATCCTTTGAAAACTTACGTGATGCACATCACTCATACAAATATGACACTTCTAGAAGGACTTCCCCAGTTGTAACATGAGCACATTGTTATATTCTAAGGTTTCCAGGCTTTTACAGAAAAATTTCAGTTTTCAAATACAGTTACACTTCAAGAACACTATGACATATGAAATTATTTCATGTCTACACACAATTGTCTCCTAAAAAACATGGCAATATGCAATTACATATACAGTACCTGTTATGACAGGACAGTTGTTGAAGTATCTGGTGAAGGTAAGTGTGTCGATCGTGGCAGACATGAGGATCAGGCGCAATGACCGAAACTTGGCCAAAGAATCTCGTAATGCAATCAGAAGGAAGTCTGTGAAACAATTCCTTTCATGAACTTCATCAACCAGGATATGCGTTACAGTAGCAAGAACTGAATCTCCTCCCATCAAAGTCCGAAGCAGAACACCACCGGTACAGTAAGTCAGAAGTGTTTTCGGAGATACTCTGGGGGGAGAAACACACAATGATCCTCAGTCTGTACATTTTTATTTTCTGTATACCATCTGTACAAAAGTTGCAAATGGAAAAGGAAATGAACTTCTTCACTGATCTGTGTTTATTTTTAATATTGTATTTGAGCACCCTGTTACTCTGGTGCATCACTCACTCACACATCTCCATCTCCAATGCAGCTTAAAGCTGCTGAGAATCTCTCTTTAATTTAAAATAAAATATGTCCTGTGTATACAAGGGACATATGCCCAGCTAGTGAGTACATACAGGTGTTTCACGACTTTAGGGCATAACAGTAAGAGGTGATTTCCTAGGTCTTTGTGATCAAAAAAGTTCTTATAAACATGTGTCCGATTTTGGACGGTTATGGGGTTATGACCGTTTTTTCATTCCCGTACATGCCCTCATATGAACTGTGTCTGTCATCTGGCAGGTTGCTATTTTTAGCCAACTACAGACAGAGCCTTCTTGTTATCTCGACACTTGAGAGCTACCTAAGGCAGGGTGGGTTGGTATGTCTGGCGCAGTTCACAATTGAGCGGCAGCCTGTGTTGCGGCTGGCAGTGGCATTTTCGAAAATCTGCTTTAAGCACCAATCAATTCACATTAAAGGTAATTTCACGAAGTTAACTTTACATTCATACTGTAACGTGTCTTGAGTTTGAATCCCACTTCTGACACCAATTGTAACGTGTTTAGTTATTGAAGACGCCGTTCGGATTGTTAATTGGTTTATTCAACAACCTACAAGTCTCGGCTACAATTAATTACAACACTGTTACGGGTTTTCACAATTTACAACCCCTATTCAATTCACTCTATGGTCAGTAGTCTACACATTTTTATAACGCAGGAGTTACACAAGTGCAACTGTATCACACACTCCCAATTATTACTCGGTTATCACGAACTATCACTGATTCTCACACATGCGTCCGTAACTCGTAACTCGCCGCTGGCTAGATTCCAACTCAACTCGTAGGCTGCTGCCTTGAGAACTGTCTTCGGTGGCTGATACACTTTAACTCGTTCAATGCGGACTGGAGAACTCACTTCGGCGACTGATGCACTTAACTCATTCACTGTGGACTGGAGAACTCACTTCGGTGACTGATGCACTTAACTCGTTCACTGCTGACTTGAGAACTGTCTTCGGCCGCTGATACACTTTAACTGACTTCGGCGGCTGTGTAGTTCCCTTATATAGTCGTAGCGCCCGCCTGTTACGCAAGGGGTACTGCTGTTGCCTGTTACCCGTGTCGCAGCTGCGTTGCGTGTTACGTCACCGTGGGGAGAGGGGCGGGTGTTGACTCGCCTATTACCATAGTAACAACAGCGATACGATGCCGCCATGTACCGCTAAGGGAGGGAGGGGTCCTCCGTTGCGCAACATGTCACAATACTTTAAATGTATCGTGTATTATGCTGGTTTATTATTTTGTTGTTTATTGTCAGTGACCGTTGCCTTCTATTCTGAGTTTAAAACGGTCATAACTCTGTAACCGTCCAAAATCGGACACATGTTTATATGAACTTTTTTTGATCACAAAGACCTAGGAAATCACCTCCTGCAGTTATGCCCTAAAGTTGTGAAACACCCTGTATATACAAAGGGGGCATAAACAAGGATGCCACAAAAGGACAACAATGCAGAATGGAGAGAGAGAGTTTGTTGACTTACGATCTAGTGCAGTGCAACAGTATCAAAAAGTGAGCAAACGTCTGAAGATGGCCAAGTAGAGCCAAAACATGTAGCAACTAATGTAATTTTGATATTATTTTAAAATTAAAAAGACTGTAAACACTTTTAGTCTGCATTAAAGAAGGAAGTGAATGAGTGACTGTATGTTTACTTGGGATATATTTACTGACAATGTCAGAAGCTCAGACGATATGGTACCAGACTGTAGGATGAATAAAAAGTGAAGTAGAATGTAGTGGCTGTGACCTAATATGAGGTACTAGCTCATCATCTGCCAAGATAGACCGAGAAAAATGACAAAACACCTTGGCAGGATATCAGTTCATGTGTCAAAATATGCACCGCCCCCCCAAAGTAACAAAACAAGGGTGAAAGGCCAAACAGCTATTCCACAATGTTTGACTTACTGGCCTTTTCCGGATCTTACAAACATTTGAGGGAGTCGAGATAGCTCGGTCGGCATAGCAATGGGCTATGGGCTGGGCAGATGGGGGTTATTTTCCGCCACTGCAGCCCACCTGCCAGTGGCCACTGTGATCAGCTGCTGTTGGTACACTATATAGGAAACATACTGTCGCGTGTCAGGTGTATAACGCGACAAATAACTTCACGCCTTATTTGACATAGCGAATTTTATTTCACATTCGCACTTACAATCACCCAAATTACAATCTGACAATTACTGCCATCGGCAGTATCACAAATACTACACTGCAAATGCCAGAATACAACTGACTGGTTGCTGGCTAACTCGGAACTAACTGTGAATAGTCTTCGCTGCTCCGTATCTAGCCTTGTTCCGGACAACTCAGAAAACAGCCAAGTAATAGTCACCACTGTTGTGTGGTGCCGTGGTGCTAGCAATGCTGTCCAGAGTTGTTTACTGCTGCCTAGCAACCGCGGTATCCTGTGGTGACGTCACCGCTGACTCGCGTTGCATAGCTACCAGGATGCTGGGACTCGGCTAACTTCGGCTCTGGTCGGCGCGTCACGGCTGGCGGGGGGGGAGGGCGTCCAGCTAGCGCGACACGTCACACTGCTTCCTCCTTAAGGCTGTTCGTCCCGAATAGCCTAACGGTGCACCCCCGTTCCTTTTCCTTCCCGTAGCTGTGCTTGCAGTGTCGTCTCAAGCGGTTACCTTTTAACTTGCCAGAAGATCCAGTTCTAGCACACTCATTCGTCGCACATTCAATCTTTCTCGGGAGGCCGGTTCTTTTACATTACCGGTTCCTCCTCTACTTGAGGTCTCTTTTTCCGTTTTGGAGGGGGTCTACGCCTCCATAAGTTCCAATCCTTGTGTTGCCGTAGGCTGACTGAAGATCCGGCTATTTGCTTCGCGATCTTCACGCTGACAATCTCGTAGAAAGTCTTCTCACAAATTCTCCCTCCTAGGTGCGATCGATGTCCTGATCTACACCCTGCAATGGCGTCCTTGATTGTCACCTTTTCCGTCTGACATCCGAAGGTTCCCTGGGGAGTTTCCTTCTCGAAGGCATTTCTCCAGCGTCGTGCCACTGTCGCATGACGGGATGTCTTCCTGCAGGTGGCAGCAAGCTTCATCCGGGATTCAGTTTCCTCGGGTCCAAGATTTATTGAAGATGTTTCTCCGGCGCCATGACACTCTTGCATGGCAGGACACCTTCCTGCTGATGACGGCCAATTTATTCTGGGGTTCGAAACTTCCACATGTCGAATTCTGCCTATTTTGCTGATGTCGGTCCCTGCACCTTTTCTTCTTCGGTTCTCCGACCGGCATTACTTCGACGTCTTCTATGGGTACCTCTCGTAGTTCTGCCGCCTCAGGTTTCATGTTCACTGAGACTGGCTCTTTTTCTTCGGGATGTGCCTCCAATTCTCGGCAGGCCATCATCACTCCGACCGGTATCACTATGGGTACCTCTTCTTGTTGTGCCACCGCAGGTTTCATGTCCACTGGGGCCGGCTTTTCTTCTTCTAGATGTACCTCCATCTCTTGGTAGGCTATCGTCTTTACTTCTTTTTCTAGATGCGCCTCCGTCGTCTCTCGGCTGGCCGTCATCTCTTTCTGCGAGGCATCCATATTGGCCTGTCTTTCAGCCTTCAATTTGGCTAGTAATTCGTTGAGGCCGATCTCCGCCTTTTCTTGATAGGAGTCTAATTTGGCCATCAAATCTTCTTTGTCTTTCCTCCTACTTTCCTCCCTCTCTTCCTTCTCTTTCCTCCTCTCTTCCTCCCTATTGGCGTTCAGTCTGGCCACCATTTGTTCCTGGGCGAACAACAGACGTTCCATCACCTTTTCCATGTCCACGTTGTAGCAGTAAATACTCGATGCACAATAATCCAATTATTTGTCTAGGCGTGTTTAAGTTTGTAAAAATTCTGACACCACTGTAACGTGTTTTAGTTACTGATCTCGTTGATCACGTGTGTAAGTTCGTATCCCACTTCTGACACCAGTTGTCGCGTGTCAGATGTATAACGCGACAAATAACTTCACGCCTTATTTGATATAGTGAATTTTATTTCACATTTGCACTTACAATCACCCAAATTACAATCTGACAATTACTGCCATCGGCAGTATCACAAATACTACACTGCAAATGCCAGAATACAACTGACTGGTTGCTGGCTAACTCGGAACTAACTATGAATAGTCTTCGCTGCTCCGTATCTAGCCTTGTTCCGGACAACTCAGAAAACAGCCACGTAATAGTCACCATTGTTGTGTGGTGCCATGTTGCTAGCAATGTTGTCCGGAGTTGTTTACTGCTGCCTAGCAACCGCGGTATCCCGTGGTGACGTCACCGCTGTTGACTCGCGTTGCATAGCTACCAGGATGCTGGGACTCGGCTAACTTCAGTTCCGGTCGGCGCGTCACGGCTGGCGGGGGGGGCGTCCAGCTAGCGCGACACGACACAATACTGACACGCTCTTTATACAATATAATTGCAGAAAAGATTAATATTCTACTGACTGTGAATTTCGTGATGTCAGCCAAGTTGTAGAAAACAAAACTCTATCACTTTGGAGTGTGGTTAGCAAATTAACAGTATTAATGTTGGCAGTAGAAACGAGGTCTTTTCATCTCCAAGAGTTTTCTCTTCTCCACATTTTCCAGACCAGGTCTGGGGCTCACCCAGCCTCCTATCCAATGGGTACTGGGGTGATGTCCCAGGAAGGTAAAGCAGCTGGGGAGTGAAACTGACCACTCACCTCTATTTAATGCTGATGTCAACAATTATGGAGCTATACCTCCGCTACACTATATGTCTTCATGCTTACTTAAGCACAGAGACAACTTTACCTTTTTCAGACTGTGAGTTGGACTGCAATACATCAAGCTTAATTGGCACTCATCCATTTCTTGAAGAAATAGAATTACAGCAAACTGGGATGGTGCAGCTGGTATAATGACCAGGCTATGGGCAGAGTGATCAAGGAAATGTGGTTCGATTTACAGCAGAGACAACTCTGTGTCGCTTTTTCACAGTGAACAGACCAGCTCTGCGGTTCTCACAGACTCCTAACAATGGGCACTGGGGGCTCTGTCCCAGGACAAGCAGATGGGTTATGAAGCAGATCAGTCAGCTCTGTCTAGTGCCATGGTTAAAGATGCTCCACTCTGCCATACATTTTCATGTCATGGTCTTTCATTAGGAGTAGGGACAAATATACATTTACCTTTCATGTTACCAGAATTAAAGAGATCAGTGCACTACTAGCCTATTTCCATAGTTTCCAAGGGAGGGCTTGTGCCTGTAAGGTCTTGGAACCTGCTAACTTTTCAAATGGTGCATATTCATGTATCACCTACATATTTTTAATTACCTTCCATCAACAAGACCATACAAACCTATGGTACGAGAATGACACATATGTCATTTAATGTTTTATAATGAAAATTTAAGCGATGATATATCTTTAAAAGACATGGACAATGCAAAACAACATAGTAATCAAGAAAAGTTTACATTTACCTATTTAATAGCGATTACAAATAAATCACACAGATTACAAATATAGCTACAAATTTTTATGAGAACTTTTTATCTGTTAAAAATTATAAATATGATAACTGTATGAATCTTGCAATTTACATCTGCCAAATTTAACATAATGTTTATATATATATATATATATATAAGCTGAAGAGGGAGACAGACTCCAGTCTCCAAAAAATTGTGTTTTTAAATAAAAAGAGGATGATGGATAATGTCCAGAACCATAATATTTGTAGTGCTGTATTTCTTTGTATCTTACACCTCTGCACGATGAATGGATTCCTACTTTCAGATTAGAAATTACTGAAAAAATTATATAGCATATTTAACCCCAACTTTTCATTTAAACAATTTCAAATACAAATTGTGTAAGATGTGCCTTTGGGTAATGTCCCCCCCCACAATATTTGGCAATTTAGTCATGATGCACCAAGGCTTCCAAAGTAAAGCATTTCATGAAGTATGAGCATGGGAACCTGGTCAAGGTCTGTTGGCAGGCAGTGAAGGCACATAGAGTTGGGACGGATGGGACAGGTCAAGATCATACACAATAAAATAACCCACAATTGCTGACATCCAGCTGAATATTGTAGATGTGAGCAGTGTAAGGGACTACTGAATTACATTTCAAATAAACACTGGATTCTCAATTATCTTTTAAATCTCAAAAGTTAATGGGGAGGGATTCACAAGACACACAGAGAGCATGGAGATCACATAAGCCTATTTTTCAAAATAAGGAAATTAGGCTAAAATACCTTGCATATGTAGAGGCTCAGTCCCCTTCCACAACCCAAGCAGGTGCCAAATCTGTTGTGAGAGATCCACTTAATTTGGATATACGTGGTATAGTCATTAATTTCGTGGACTGTGGTTTTATCACATCATATCACATACACTTACACAGATCCACATCGACCCTCAAAATAGTTGCCATTGGCCGCTATGCAAGTCTGCCAACATTGATATAGCTGCCAAAACATTGCTGAAACATATTGGCAGTAAATTCCTGTATGGCGTCTCTTGTGGCAATGATGACCTCCTCGGACAACTGAAATCTACGACCACGTAGCTTTGCTTTCAAGCGGTGAAAGAGAAAGAAATCGCATGGTGCGAGATCGGGTGAGTATGGAAAGTGTGGCAAAACGATGACCTGTTGCCTTGCCAGTTCCTCTTGGACAAGAACACAGCGATGTGCAGGAGCGTTGTCGTGTAGCAACAGCCAATTCTTCCTATGTCAAATGTTTCGCTAGGAGATCTGCCTAGTTTCTGGCAGAACTTCATGTTTGCCTCTTCTTTAAACTGCCACATTTTCAATTTCCAGCACTCACATGTAACTGCAGTTCACAATAGAGGCCATAGTTCTGCTTACAATGTGTGCACACAACTGCCTCTTGCTGTGATGAGAGATGAACTAACAAGGCATTATATCATGCCTCAACCTATCTGCTGTAGTGCACTGCAACAATGCTTTGCAGCCAGTCCACTGTGGTAATATTAACATCACAATTCCTAAATCAGGTGGATCATTACAGGGAACCACTTCAGTTTCTGCTTTCTACGACTGAACTCTAACTCTTACCCATGTCCCACTAACGGGTATTAATTTTTTGGAATAACAAAATGAATACACACCTGCATTCTAGTCTTATTTGGTAACCAACAGAGTGTCCAATTTTTTCATTCCGTTCTGCAGCAACTCGTTCACTTACAGAAACAGCCGAAATGCGATGTGGTTGTGTGCAAATAATACGACAAGCCTTGCCTGCACTCTGACAGTGCTCGAGAATAAACTGTGGGACCTGGACATATAAAACAGAGATTACAGTAATGGTAGGTGTGGCAAGAACTGTTTATTTCTGCAAACACTTATGCAGCAGAAGTGGTGATGTCACTGTCATTAGTATCATTACAAATCACCCGAACATTAATCAATAACTAGTGTTCAGTCTTAAAATACAGGGCGTTCAATGAAGGAGGAAAGTTCGCAACACCACTGACCTGGCCCAACATTCCTCACAGATTGCTGCTGTAACTGTAACGGCATGCATTTATCAGTGCTAATGACTCAAGATGCTATAAGCAGTTACAGCAGCAATCTGTGAGGAATATTGGGCCGGGTCAGTGGTGTTGCGAAGTTTCCTCCTTAACTGAACGCACTGTATAAATTCAACTGTGTATGTGCATATTACATCAGCCAGCCCCATCACAAAGTCATGTGATGAACTGATTTCACTAAAGTAAAGTTACTATCACTCCAGCACTTCTCAAAATACCCTGGGTATGAGAGCAGATATTGCAGTAAACCCTCGGTCTAACGGACCTGAACATAACAGATTTCTGACATGATGGACAAAATATGGCAGGGTGTTTGGTTTTTTAAATGAACTTGCATGAAACCAAAAAATGTGGGTGAAATTTAGTTCAAATATTGTGTTTCCTATTTTTACTTTAAAACATAACATTTCGGAGACTGGATTCTGTCTCCATCTTCATGCAAAACCTTCTCAGTTGGGCCCAATTGATAGAGTTAGTCCCTATCTCCAGACACCAGCAACAACACAAGAGAGTATATACAAACCAAGCAAAGAACAAACCATGTGCAAGAGACTGGGACTAGCTCTATCGATTGTGCTCAACTGAGTAGGTTTTATCTGAAGACGAAGACAGAACCCAGTCTCCAAAATGTTATGTTTTTAAATACAAACAGAACAGTGTTTTAAATAAAAGCAGGATGATTGATAATGTCCAGAAACATAATATCTGTACTGACGTATCATTGTCACAAACTTTTAGCTCACTTAATTAGTTTAGTGTAAAGTAAATAAAAAATGGTATTCTACATACATGTAAACTTTGCTTTATATTCAATTACACTGTGCACAATTGGGATTTTGAGGCAAGGTTTCACAATTAGGAAACTATTTAAAATAAAGTTGAATCCCAGTATAAAAATTGTTATGTAATAACATTTTGAGTTTCTGTGTTACTTGTGTGTACTGACTATGTATCCTACGATGTACTTCCATGAATACCCATTCACATGGTTACAGGGAACATCGGCGATAAAAGACACCCTGTCTCCCCTACTGGCCCTTTACAACAAAGGTTTACTGTATTAGAAAACTGCTTTCACGAAAACTTATAATACCAAGTTACCAGCCACAACATACCGCAGGTAAATATGGTACTATTTCTAGTGGGTAATGTGACTGGTTAATGAAAAGATGCCAGAATCCAGCAAGACTTGGCAATGGTCTTCAATCAGCTATGAGTTCAGCCTTGTCGGTGCAGAGACCAAAGCCTTCATGAAGAAAGCTGTCTTCTAGGGTGTGATGCTGTGATGTCTTGTTGATCTTTACTAAGGTTTCCAAGGCAGCACTTTTGTAACACTGGTATACAACTGCCAGACTACAAGCTGTGTCATATCACAGAAGAAAGTAGTGTTCACTGTTACCACTATGAGAACCTCACATCTTACAAAGACTTCAACTCTGCCAAATGTTAAACTATGGGAATATGGACACTATCACACAATTATCATCATCATTCTATTGCTGGGTATAACAAATCACACACCCAAGGTACTGGGACTGTCAACACAGCAACAGGGTAGATCAATTTTAATTTTAATAAAACTGATTAAAATGCATGCAATATATCAATGGTTTATCAATTCTTTCTCATTATTACTGCATGTTTTGGTTACATGGACTATCATCAGGTGGTCTGTAAACAAATANCGGATGATATGTGATGTGCAGCTGGGTAAGTGTGTCTTACCAATTGACTATACATATACAATATTTCTGAAACACACTTATGTAACCGATCATTACCCACTGGTGTAATTTTCGAATGATGATACTTGTTACTTACTACCAATTTTGTACTAAGTGTGACTTATGTCTAGTTTTGCATTAACTGTTCTAAGAATTTGCGACAAGGAATGTTCAGATAAAAGCTATTAGAAAGATCCATGACTGCTGGTGGTAACATGAGCTGCTCACTCCCACTTCACCAGCCTGATTAAAAGGGACTTCCAGAATGTTCTCGATTAAAGAACAATGAGAAAGCTTGGGGAATAATCTGGAAAGAGAAGGTTCTGGATGTTACATTATCTCACAGTATATAAAGGGAATGATCCCCAGATGATGGGCAGTGGTCGATCAGTTGGGCAGTCAGTGAGCGAACATGGATATTCACTGAGACACACAGGCTGGGAGTTTCACATACCTCATCCACTGTACAGTAACGTATTGTTGTGAATGTTGAAGTAGTGTATAGTGAGTGCCAAAAGTGCAACTGTAACAGCAAGTGCCTGCTGCTTGTAAGTGTGTAGTGCTGTTAATAAAGAAAGTGTGTTATTAAAATCGAGTTGTTGTCCAGGGACTTCTTCACCAAGAAAAGCTCTCTTGTCGGAGCAAGACCCGTTAAGCCCGAAGAGAGAATCTCATTGCTCGATCCCAGGATCCTTCACCCTCAACGTGCTTCCCAGACCACGTAACCTTCATACCAACAATGAAGGGCAACAAAATAACTCTTACTAGTAGCACCCAAGCAAGCCTTTGCCAAAAGGACTGTTAGAGGTGGCTTATCTCAATGCAGGACTACTACATAGTGCAAAAAAAGAACTCTCACAAGTAGCATGCAACGCGAGGCATTGAAAAGGCTACGCAAAAGAGACACACTGAATAAGTCCCACAATACATGCCATACTCCATCTTCTTAGCAATTTAAACAACCAGTATATCTCTTTTTATATTTTATCATTTTACACAAGTAATTTATCATGATATTTTTTATTGTAAAACTGTATTTTTTTAACCTTGAAATTCAGTAATGATATGTTTTATTCATTTATCTACAGAAGAATGTTGTTTATCCGAATTAATTCATGACAAAGGTGGTTGAGATAATGGAAATTTGAATAACTGGATTCAATTCTTATCCACAAAAAAAAATTATAATGCTATTACAATATAGTCTTGATTTCCATCTATAATGCAACAATATTAATTTAACAACATTAATTCACACTTAATTCACTCTATGTTCGTTAAATTAATATGGTTCCATTATAAATGGAAATCAAGATTATAAGTTATAACTCAGTGCAACGGGATGCTGAAATATAATGTACTATTACAATATCTAAAAAAAATTCAAAACATGAAAAATTAATTAATGTCTATTATGAATTAACATTTTCAAACACTTAATATTTGAAGAAGTCCAACAACAAAATTTGCTTAGCAGACACGTTCCTTGGTTACAGTGATTCAATTAATAGGCAATTTGGATAATCGTGAATTGGTTAATCAGCATTCTACTGCATTTACAAACCAGCTGATGATGGCCCATGGACTGAAACATGTAGTGGTAATAAAATAAATAGAATTGATTGATTAAATTATAACCTATCTACTTTGTTGTTGTGTTGACAGCCCCAATGCCTCAATGGGATAACACAACATGATGCAAAAAGTAAAAATAAAAATATATCACACCCTCCTCTAAATGGATCGCATAACCTTGAACACATAGCAGAAGCCAGGGAGGGCAGGAGAATACTGCAACTGTTACATCTTCTATAAACATACATATTTCCAAACAAAATCCTTAAAATTCCACCAGCCCAACACCAATCAATATTAAATGCAAATACTTGTTAATGGGAAAGACAGAGTATTGTACAAAAGATTAGAAATAACAATGAAGAATGACGTCTTCTGGTATGTGGACCAGGTAGATCTTGTGTGAACCAACATTTTGGAGGAATGTATCACCTCCATCTTCAGGGAAGAAAATTCTGCAAGCAAGGGAAAAGCGTGAGCAGGTGGCTGCAGACTGACGGCATTCTTCATAGTCACCGCAGTGAAAACCTCAAATCTTACAAATTACAATGAATTTCAGAATTGGTATTTTTTATATCATTGGTGAGATGGACACGCAAGAAGATGGCATGGCATGCAACTTGCATGGGGAAACAAGAAATGCATACACAATTTTGGTTACAAAACCTCACATGACAAAGATATCAGTTCTCCTAATTACAGCCCTAGCAACACCTTCTGTTATCTTGCGGTCCTACTTAGGGCCCCTATTCCCCTCATGCATGACCACCAGATCCAATATATCCTGTCATCCATTCTCATCATTACTGCCCTGAAGATAGAGGTAGTATGTTCACCTGAAATATAAGAAGCCTTTTCCACTACTACAGAGGGGCCAAAAATTCAACATACAAAATTTAGGCTTAAATAATTTATTGGTATATATTTGGTTGAACTTTGAAAATGTCCTTAGATAACCTCTATATGACATAGAGGTATGGAGGTGTATAAAATTTCTGGGCCCTTATTTATACAGCATCAAAACCCAGAAGGAAAAAACCAAAACAGGTTTCAATGGAAAGAAATGTTAGTTACTATCCAGACCTGAGAATACAAGCAAAACTTTTAAGCTTTAACTGGAAAGCACGTAACCTGTGTTGTCTTTCCAGATCCCGTGTCACCGCTGATAACCACAACTTGGTTGCTGTTGATTAAGTTCATAATCTCTTCTCTCACTGACCAAATGGGTAACGCTTGTCTGAATGGGAGCAATTCCTGGTTTACTGCTCCATGTGGCACATGGGGAACACTAATGCCCAAAGGACCCATGACTTTATTCACATCCTTCACTGCAAAGGAAACTTAAATTAAATTGGAGATTTATATATTGAAATGAAATAAAAATTAAGGATCACATTAATAAAATTATAATTGTCTTCCCAATTCCCTAACCAACTGTTATTCAAAAAACTATTACTATGGCATGTTATCAGCTATGCCATAGCTCAGGCAGTCACTGGCTTCCCACCACTGCAGCCCAGGTTAGGTCATGTGGGGTTTGTGGTGGGCAAAGTGGAACTGGGGCAGGTCTTCTCCATGTACTTTGGCTTCCCCTGACAATCTTCACTCCACCAATTGCTCCACAATCACCATCAAGTATCATCAGGGGCTGGTACAATAGGCCAGTAGTGGTCACAGTACCAAGTGGACTCAGTCTCACGCCATGAGGGGGGAAAAAAATCAGTTATTTGGGCTCTGAGCATTGTCTGATTTAACACATTTTCATGTGTCGGTGACAAAGGATATGGGGTCTGGACTGATCACTGGATTTACTGAACGCCTATAACTCATTTCTACAAACAGCTATAAAAGTCTCACTAATTTACATCCCAAAGATCACGGAAACTACAGCATGCACAAAGTTTTCTGTTTGTTCACTAATCACTGCTTGGTAGTGGCTGCTAACAGTGCAACTCAAGACTGCTAACTGCTGACTCTGACCTATGACCAACCGGCTTGTCCAATTGGTCCTCAGTTTGTATCCTATACACAAACTGGATAGAAAATGTGTCGTTTATTGTTGCGTCAGTATCTGTTGCCAAGGAAATATGTTTACCATGCCATTGCNTAACATCCTCTCTGATGAGAAGATGGGTCTGTCTCTTATGAATACACTCAACCTTTCGTCAAGGGTATATTTTGCACATATGTTTCATTGAAAACTCTTCCTTTTGCTTTACACACAAGTCTTCTGTCAGTACAGGTTTTACAGAGCAGATCATGCCTAACTTACAGATCTTATGCTACAATGAAAACTTTACATTTGAATGGTCATAAGCTTGACCACTGCCAAATTTAAGCCTCTTATATTTTCTGTGTCTGGCTTCACCTTGTCCTATACTGCAAACATGTTCATTATCATGATTTTGTATGACTTCTGCTTGTCGTCTGCACAATTTTGTTATATAATCGTATACATACGGAAAGTTGAAAGCCGTGTACAAGTCACGGACTGGTGTGCACCTTGGAAAATTTCCAATGGAACACAAAACCTTGCTTTGCATGCGCTGAAATTTTAGGAGGTAGGTGTCTGCCACTAATTCCCAGGTGGGACAAGCGTAAGTCATTAATGATCTAATCAGTGCCTTATAGAGGGATAGTTTAATGTTTGTCTTTAAACGCTCACTTTTGAATAGGGAGTAGATTCTAATAAATGTTCTGAAGGCCTTGGCTTCAATCATTTCTACGTGAAGTCTCCATGTAATCCTCTTATCAAAGATTATGCCCAGGTATTTTACATGATTGACAAAGGGGATATTCTGCCCATTCAATGTAAGACGAGTCTGAGGGGGGCTAAGTCTATGAAAGAAGTAGATTGCCTGAGTTTTATCTTCATTGATTTTTATGTTCCAGCGACCACACCATGTCTCAATAACACTGAGACCTCGCTGCAGCTTTCTGAGAACATAACCCTCTTTGCGGTCTGTCGCATATATACAGGTGTCATCAGCAAAGAGACCTAGATAGACACCGGATGTTTGGGGCATATCGTTTATATGTATATAGACTGTACAGTGTGCGGGAGAGAACAGAACCTTGTGGCACTTCTGCTTGTATATCCCTTGGTGTAGAGATTTCACCTTCGACTGAAACTCTGAATTTTCTCTGAGAAAGGAAAGAGCTAATAAGGTTGATTACACTTTTCAAAAATTGTAATTTAGATAATTTATATAGCAAGCCAATGTCTCATGTTTTATCAAAGGCTTTTTCAATATCCAAGAATACAGTAGCTTTAGGCATGTTATTGTTGAAATTTAAGGTTACGTGGTCTGTAAGCCTCATACATTGAAGTGTCGTGCTATGACGGGCACGGAAACCAAACTGGCTTGCATTAATCAGGCCTTCTTCTTTAATGTGCCTTTGGACTATTATCAGAATAACTTTTTTGAATAGCTTGCCTGTTGTAGACAAGAGGCTAATCAGCAGTGGCGTAGCATGACTACCGAAAGCAGGGAAGCAACTTTATGTACGTGTATATAAATTTTTTCTACATACCCTATAGTTTCTATCTTCTATTTAAAAGAAAACAGCTAATAGTTTAATATGTATTGTATATTTAAGCTAATATATTAAAATAACATAATTATCAACACAATTTTATAGCCATCAAATGACAGGGTTGTGAACCTGGAATATAATTAATGCTTACTTTATTGTTTATAATTCAGCTCGATTTTTCTGTTTTTCTTGGCAAACAGATCAATAACCTCATCTAGAAAGCTGGGTTTGGACTGCAGTTTGCTTAGGAAGGACTTTTCAATGTTCATCAAAGCCAGTGATGATAACCTATCCTGGTTCTGTGAATTTCTTAAGTAGTTTTTTAATCTCTTCAGAGCTGAAAATGAGCGTTCATCTGCAGCACTTGTCGCTGGTATTGTTAATACTAGCTCACATAATTTGAAGATTTGCGGGAAAACGCATGATAACTGAAGAGCATACATATATTGATGTAAGTCATACACACTATCTTTTGCCATATCTGGGTCCGAAAACATTACTAAAAGTTCACTCTTTAAGGCAACAAAGTCAAAAAATGCACCATAATTTTCTTTTAAACAGGAAAATGCTTTTTCAGGAAATGAGGTTCTATACATGGGAAAGTATCTGGCATCAAGAAGACTCAAGAAGAGGAGCGTAGCATTCTCCGAAAATCTAACGGAGACATTCTGACACACGACATCAATAATTTCACAGAACAGCCGTTTATAGGAGTTTTTTCTTTCTTCTCCACTCATTGAGTCAATGCGAATTCTTTTGGGTCGAGTTGGGCCATTTGAATCGAAGACATTTTCCATTTCACTCCAAAGGTGGTCAAATCCTCCCCTTAATCTTTGCATGTGATGCTTAAATTCGTCTATTTTGGTATTGCAAAAAGCTATATCAGATCTCTTAGTTTGTAGGATTTTGAAAAGAGCGCCAGAATATGGAAAAATTGAAGAAAATATTTTCAGCATGAAATTGAAATCGAAATCCCTTAGAAGAGAGAGAAGTCCGCGTGCAGAAGAAATTGTTTCTACATCCCATTCTTCTGGTTCCTCTATTATAGACACAAGAAGATTCTCAATTCCTTCTCTGTATTCATGCACAGTTTCAGCAAGTCGGCTATGGTACTGCCATCGAGTAGGTGCGATAGAAGGAAATCTTTTCCTAAGGTGGGAATCCAATGCTTCAGTCCTTTTTGTGGACTTGGCAAAAAAAGTTCTAAAGCCAGAGAGAGTAGCAAAGAAGACCTTAACTTCCTTAATAAAACTAGCAGATTGTGCTAAGACTAAATTTAGTCTATGCGCATAACAATGAACAAAAATGGCGTTTGGGTACTGCTCGCGAATTTTTGCTTGTACTCCTGCATGTTGTGATGCCATAACAGCAGCACCATCATAAGTCTGTGCAATGAGTTTGGGACCACATTCAAAATCATTTAAAATCTCAAGAGCATGGTTAAACAAGGAATTGGCAGAACGGTCAGAGCTCACGTCTGTAAAACGCAGAAACCTTTCTTCAACATTGCCATCAGCTGTCACATATCGAAGAACTGAAGCCAACTGACACTTATTCATCACATCTGAAGTCTCATCAAGAATTAAAGAAACATAATTAGCCTTTGAAATTTCCTTTTTAATTTCCATTGTCATCAATTCAGATACAGAATGTATCAGTTCATTTTGGATGTCAGGAGAAGAACCACGGAAAGCAGTTGAAGACTCTAAATGATTGTGTAAATCAGAATCATAACGTGCCAGCATATTTAAAACCTCAATGTAATTTCCTCTATTAACAGATGCCACGCTTTCATCATGTCCCCGAAATGCTAAACCCTGAGAGCCCAGAAAACAAACTGCTGTAATTAATTGGCCTACAAATTTCCTGTTCTGTTTCACAGCTTCATTGTGTTTTTCAATTGACTGTTTGTATTGGCTGCTTAGAGAAAATTCAATCCTTCTGTTTTTACCAAACAGTGTAATTTCTTTAAGACAAGCAATGTGATTAACTGAATGCCCATGTCTTTTGCCAGATTTGTAAATGTTGTTAATGTCATTGTAACCAGCACTGTTAAACACGTGTTTTTCTTTAGAAAACAAGAGACAAGGCCAACAGAATAATTTTTTTAGTTTATCACACCCACACAACCATGGAATAGCCTCATATAAACTGGTATTGAAATGCCGTGTGCAAGATTTCATTTTTGTATGTAAAGTTAGATTAGGCTTAGGTGCACCTTCTTCTATTATCTTAAGTTTCTCATTATAACTGAGTGAACTGAACGGTGTTTGAAGAAGTTTTTCAATCACACAGTGGTTATCGCATGAAAGTGTCATGTTTCTATTTTTAACTTAACAGCAATCACAAAAACACTGTCATAAAGTTATAATTACGCAAAGCAAAACAAATTCTGTATCGAGAAAAATACAGAATAATAACTAAACTGACTTGTGCATAAGTGACACGCTAACACCTTCTGAAAACTAGTAAGCACGCTTAACTGCAAGGTCACAGACTATTCTACTGCAAACTGCAATGCCTTACATCTGGCAACATTGCTGGAAGCACGAAGCTGGTAGCATACCATAACGCATAGCTCACTTACAGACAACATTGACACTGAGTCAGCCAGTTAACCCAGAGGAGGGTGGAAGTGAAAGACCTGCTGCTTCTGCAGTGCAAGCAGTTCAGTAATGAACAATGATGCATATTATTGTTTATGAAGCACCCGATTATGTACAAAACAACCAAAATATTTAGGTTTGTACATTTAATGAAAATATAAATTTACAAATTATGGATATACCACATACTAGTGATTCACACAACAGGATGTAAAACATATGAATGAAAACACACTTTACAAAACACTATCACACACCAATTAGCGTTCTCAGTCATGGTCTTCAATGCACTACTTGGTAGCAACTTCCAGAGGCAGATGTTGCCCTTCCTCTGGGTTCCCAAACTGTCCCTGGCCTCAGCTACTGCAACTCTCAAATGACTGATGGGCTGCAGACCCTCTCATGACACATGCCTGGCCACATTGCTTAGTGATGGCTCTGGTATTGTTGCATGCTTACAAAGCTGTTGCCTAACAACAGCGTTTATGGAGCAGTTCCCCATCAACGGTTGTCTCTGCTTGCTTCACAGTTCTTGCTTTGAGCAAACATGCTACAGTATTGTAGATGGACATCATCGTTTCCAAAGAACTTCACTCTGAAATGTTGGTATCCACCTAGAATACTTAATGGTATGACAACCCAGAAGACTAGAATTCGAGGATATTCTGATCCTCAACAGTCTCAAAAACTGTGAAGACCTCCAAAAAGGTTTAAACTGCAGGTCAGCTGGAAGATTTATAAATTATGAGTAGTGTCTCTACCTGTCCCTGTATTTATCTATTTATGATTTATTAAATATCGAATTATGGGAAAATTAATAAATATGAAATTGGAAAAAAGAATTACGGAAATGACTGCAGCCTCATTTGAGGTACTATCCAAGCACTTGTCTGAAGAAACTGAGGAATACCATGAAATGCCATAATCAAGACATTTGGGCCAAGATTTGAACCTGGGACCTCCCAAGTATGAATCAGAAATGCTATCCCACTCAACAAAAACATTCAGTCTGTCCCTGTGAAGTAAGGATCATTTTATGATATGAAATTTAAATTGTCATGAACTGCCAGAAAAATAAGAAAAGAAATTTCTCACCTTCAGTATTCAGCATTCGGTCTCTCTCAGTAAGAGGCAACAGTTCTTGTCGCTCTTTATTTGTGAGTGGAAATTTGAGTAGCAATGCATACATATGCTGCCGAGATGACCGCGCAAGCTGGAACACTGCGTCTGCTTGTACAATACTTGAGCCCTCTCGCTTGTATACTGTTACATACCTATTTGCTCCCTTGCTGTAAGAGTAACCATATCATATAGCATATTATTATACCGTAGCATCCTGTTGCACATAATTTTTTACTCAATAAACATCACTGGTTCACCATCTTATGTGGAAGATGTCTTAATAAAGTTTCTTACATACACACAGCGCATCTTTTAAACCTTATTTAAAAGCTTCTATGCATTGCATTACATGTTTCAATTGACAATGGTCATCATCAGGAATTTGAAAATTGCTGTGCTTCTGTTTTGTGATTTTAATATTCAATGTGTGCTCTCATCTACACGCTTGTGTATTTTATGGTGTCTGATGATGACCCATGTCTGTTGAAACATGTAGCAGAATGTACAGAAGCTTTTCAATTAAGGTTTAAAAGATGCACTGTGTGTATGTAAGAAACTTTTAAATAAGTTTTGGAAGGATGCGTTGTACATTAAGACGGTGAACCAGCAACATTTGTTGAATAATACCATACATGAGTCTTTGGATATATAAATTATATGCTGTACTATACAAAAACTTATTGAAATGTTTAAAATTTCAGTGCAGGATCATTTACCTGGCTTGACATGAGCCATATCTGTGCCTAATACCAGAGTCAAGAAAACTATTTAAACATGCACATTTTTGATAAAGCTGGAATCAAGTAAACAGTTAGCATGGACTCTCATCCATTCTCTAGTGTATGCTTTGTTTACAATTATCATTACCACCATCAAGCTGTCATTAATTTGAGCCATTTGTTTGTCTATTCCAGCTTTGGTGGTCTAGTAGTTCTGCATGGTTTGTATTTCATCTGTAGTTTGGGGACTCATGTTATTTTTCATATTTATTATTTAACAATGCAGTGAGTATTGAGACCAATCACAGTGGTCACATGGACTAAGGCACAAACCGTCTTCACTCGTATGAATGCTAGGATCATGGGTTCAAATCAAACTCAAACCACGGATGTCTGTGTGTTTAATCTATGTGTAGGCAGCAGCCTTGTAACAGGCTGATCCCCTGTTGGAGGAATCCTACCAACTGTGCATAGGATTAAGAAACTGAAAAAGCGACCAAGGTCCAACAGAAGGACTGTAGAGTCATAGACAGTCAGTTTTGAGACCAAACAACACTGATGATACCATGATTACCGAAGAGTTGGTGAATTAAGAACTGGCAGGGAAAACTGAAGTACTCGAAGAAAAACCTGCCCCAGTGCACTGTGTCTGGCACTGTTAATGCAGCAACTCTTTCAATTTTTATCAATGAAGATTCAATTTTTAGTTCATTCAAAATGTTTTGGTTCACTTTTAGTCTTTCTGTGTAAATTTTGTGATGGCCCCTCAAGAATTTCATCTGAGCAGCTGTACTTGCGAATTTGTCTGGCCTTGACTATCTGGGTTTCAGTACTGTACATGCTTAGTCCTGTATTCTTCTGGACTTATGATTGTCTATACATATAATTTATTAAGCCGGCAATATCTTTCAATTTCATGTGACAGCAAAGATCCACATGAGAAAATCTGTGGCTTATATAAAATTCTTAAGGTAAGGAAATCTATTATTAGATGGGGCATGGTGCTAGGATGGGGAGTACAGGAATGCAAACAGAATCTTGGTAGGGAACTTCTGGGAAAATATCCACTTGGATGGGAGGCCAGGGAGAAGGGAGGACAGCTAAGTGGAGTAGGCCATGAGGATGGGAAATGACTGAAGCCAGCTGTGGATGATGTCCAATGCCATGTGCTCATATTTGCAATACTGAAACTTCTTCCATAAGAAGTTAATTTAGTTAGTTTAATGAACATCTGTGGTAACTGAAGGTGCAGCTGATTTATGTTACTTGTGATTGACCATGATTTTGGTTCTAAATGGATCACATCCACAAATTCCACAAATTCCATGGCTCTGTTTGTGTAGTTGTGAGATTTAACACATAGCAGTGCCCATAAGGCAAAAGTTATGATAGATTTATAGATGACAGAGTTAAAAATTTGTTATCTAGTGCAAGTTAATAATATTGCCACATGTTAGTGACTAGACATGGGTAATTGCATTTACTGAATGCTTATAACTCGTAACTACAAGTGATTACAAAATTATTGCTAATATACATGCTTAACAAATCACTATTGTCGGTAGCAGTGTCTAACAATGCAAGGACTCTGCTTCAGTACTAATGTCACTGCCAGCTAGCTGCCATCTCACAACTAATTCAACTCTCAATTGCAACTCATGACCTCCTAGCCTTGGTTTATCAATTTTGGTCCCTATTGGAAACCCAGTCTTACGACTTCATGTCAATATAATAAACAAAGAGCCTACATGAATAAATCTTGAAAGATGAAAAACATATTTTCTGTGTAGCTGGCTTTCACACTGGTATCTTTCTCAGCTTATTAGACCCTGAAGATGGAGGTGATGTTCCTCCAAATCATCAGTTGACTTTCAGCAGGCTACATGACATTATATCTCAGAAGATAGTACTCTACACAATATACTTACCCTCTGCTCTTTGAACACAGACCCAAATTTTTAGCCAGCAGGTGGATGTAAGCACGTTCATCAGAAGTCAGGGAAGAGGGAAATTCAAATTCTGAAAATAATGTACAGATGCATCTGTTTACACATCTGTCTAAAACTGATTTCTCATTATCATCATTCTAAAATCCTACTCCTAATATATCCTTATATATACAGCTTACCTTTACTTTCTTCTGTACGTAAAAATTTCTGTAACCATAGATTGACAGCAATACGAACTTCTTCTCCAATTCCTCCTTCGGGTTTCTTGTTCTGTTTTTTCTTTGGCATGTTTAGTTGTTATACCCAAACACTGAAAATAATAAAATGAAACAAGTTAATAACTAACAAACAGCTGGTCTCTATGGCCATGCAGTCTGAGGGTGTAATGTCTTCGACCTGTTGAAGAATGTAATTTTGAGTCTAAATTCCCCACAGCATGGATAAAGGTCCACATTTTCCTGTGCTTGTGTTGTCTTCTGTAGGTAGAGGAACTGTGATGGGCCCATCTCCCACCCAAGGAACCCTACAATATGTGGGGGGGGGAATATTTTCGGAAATCAGTTCTGAATTGCAACAGACAAGAAGAAGAAGAGCAAGAGGGAGGAGGAGAATGTCACATGTCTGGTGAACACATTTCAAAGTAAAACAAATACCGACCACAGAGTCACATACATGCCAAGAACTTCATGGACATAACTGTAACACACATGAAGAGTTCTGCAACTTAATAACACAGCAGAAGCTACAGAACCTTTCATTTATTCCAATAGCCTGTTTGGTGATAAGGCTCTTTTTCATCAAAGTGGAGTGGTAAATCACTCAAAGTGGACAAATGAGAAACCCCATTGTTTAGAAGACTCATATTCTGATTGATCCAAAGGTAATGGTCTGGTACAGCATACACGTAACAACATTACTCAGACCATACTTTATTGACGCTAATGAAATGGGTAACCTTGTGCTGCAATGTTGAATGAAGCCTTGAAGCCTTACAGATGATATACTACTTGTAACCTTATGACACTTCTGATGTCACCAGGAAGGGGCATCTCCACATTTTGTTTTGACTGCGTCACTTGTATAAATACCAGGAAAATGGATCAGTTGCTCAGGGGCAGTGGAATGGCACTCTAGACCTGTCTCCTCTAGACTTTCTGTCATGGAGTCATTTGAAATCTGTTATGTGTACTATCCACAAACAACTGAGGCCGACAAAGGATGCGTTCAAGAAGAATGCAACCAAAATCAGTATGGATATAAAGCATGTAGCTGATGAAAAGTATAAAACATCAAGTCTGTAACTGCAAAGCACTCCACAAATTAGAGTTTAAACATCTGCTAGAATATGCCTATGATTCCAGATTTTGTTACACCCTGTAATACAAATTAGGAAACCTGTTCACGAAAACAGCCACATCACCACACCTGAGTTAGCTGATCATATAGGGATGTCATTCAGAACATGTCCTATGAAGTATGGACTGAATATTTACGCATTTACAAGAATTTAAATCGCTAATGGGTTAAAGCTAACAAATTGTCACTAAATTTTGATAAAACAAACGACACACAATTTTCTATTAAGAACAAGACATGTCTTAGTTTAAACATAGTTTTTGGCAATAAATTAAACGAAGAAGTAGAAGGAAATAAATTCCTTCACCTACAGACTGATAATAACTTAAGTTGAAAGAAACACACCGAGTATAATATTTCCAAACTAAGCTTTGCACACTTTGCCATGGAGGCAGTCACACCACTCATGACACTAGATACTTCAAAACTGGTTTACTTCTCTTCCTTCCACTCCATACTGTCACACTGGCCAACCTTTTGGGAAAATTCAACAACCAGAAATAAAGCACTTAACATAAAAGGGCAAATAGTTACGATAATGGCAGGAGATAAAAACAGAGTCTCTTGTACAAAATCATTTTGCAAATTTACTATACTTCCGCTTACAAATACATATTATGCTATCACTTACGGTGGGAAACACGGGAAAGAAATATAGATGTACACAATATAAACAGAAGACATAAATAAGATCATATTCCAAATGCTAACCTCACAAAATATCAGGATATCTACTATATGGATATTAAGTTACTCAGAATATCTATAACAGATATAATTTTTGTACCTGTTTTAAAAATTCTTATACTTTATGCGCGTGCATGTATCACAATTTTATATAATTGTATTCAGACGATTAAGATCGTTGGGATATTCTACATCCTCTGGCTTGGCCCACTGAGGGACCCATGGAGCGCAAAATGGACTATATCCTTTACTACTCTAGTCTACATGGTCTGTCTGGCACTGATTGCACCAGTGAGCTTTTCATCCGCTAACTCGGCAAAGATGCGCACACGTACCCAGCACGGATAGCACGAATCATCATAGTATCTGCTGCCAGAACCTAGTATCGCACCCTACTTTGTGTCGCCGTGAGGACTAATATTGTAACATGACGGCGAAAGTCGGAATGGTCGGAATAAAGGAACGGGAAGAGGTGGTCATTGCTAGGCAGGGGCGCAATAAACAAATTTCTGTGGAAACAGGTGCAAACGCAACAATAGAGGACGGTGTTACCTATGCGGGCGTTCGTAGCAAAGACGCTTTAGAAATGTTCCGCAGCAACGAGTCCAGCTCGCAATAAAATACAAAGTGGTGTTTTCTGTTTGTCCGCCCCAAGGCTCTTAGTAAGGACAAGCAGCAGGCTAGTCCAAGGCCTGCGTCTTGTCTTACTCTAAATGGAAGAAATATTCCATTTGTAAATAGTGCAAAATAAGCCAAGGCCTTCAGTACATTCATTAGAGTATATTCCCTATTTAAAAGTGAGCGATTGAGCGCTAACATTAAACTGACCCTCCATAAAGCTCTTATTAGATCCGTAATGACTTATGCTGGTCCCGCCTGGGAATTTGCGGCAGACACCCATCTAGTTAAATTGCAGCGCCTGCGAAAGAAGGTTCTCCGCACCATTGGCAATTTTCCAAGGCGCACACCGGTCGACGAATTGCACATGGCATTCAAAATTCCATACATATATGATTACATAACAAAATTATGCAGGCAACAAGCAGAAGTCATACAAAATCATGATAATGATTATGTTCGCAACATTGGACAAGGTGAAGCCAGCCACAGAAAATATAAGAGGCTTAAACTTGGTGGCGGTCAGGCATACGACCGTTCAAGTGACTAGATTGAGTGATTTATTTATTTCGTCACTGTAGATCAATGTACATGATATAGGACAAGTCAAATTAATTCTGAATATTAACAATTTAATATATGAGTAAGATTAAAATTACAATAGTTACAATTGTTTACAGTTGATTGCAATTTAGAATTAGTTAGATATTCTTATTTGTGGAGAATTTGATGGAATGAAGATTGGCAGGGGAAACCGAAGTACTCGGAGGAAACCTGCCCCAGCGCCACTTTGTCCATCACAAATCCCACTTGCCCAGATCACAGTGGTGGGAAGCCAGCGACTAATCGCTTAAGCTATGGCGTGGCCTTAGAATAATGATATGGATAGCTAGTGTAATGTTCACTGCAGATTGGTGCCCTTCTTGATGGCCTGGTATTCTCGATCTCTCTCTAAGCGGCCTACGTAGATGTCCCTCCATCACATGATGTCCTTTCTATCACATAACCAACATGGTGTCTTGATTCCTTTAAGCAGAAGAGAACTGCGCAGTATACATTCATAGCATGCTGGTATAAGCTCAACAAGTCACTTATTCTTGAATTATCTGGTCATATTGATGTTAACTAAGGTTTATCCCCAAACAAGAAAAACTCATCTATACTATACGTACATACATACATTTCATTTCACAAGTCCAAACAAATGGACATGAAGGTCATCATACAAAAATTTAAACAAACACACAGATAACGAAATAATTAAAACTAATTGTTTATGTTATGCTCCACATATTCAGAAACTGTATAAAGGGATTATTCATAAGATATAAAAACAAATTTAAACAAACACACAGATAACAAAATAATTAAAACTAATTGTTTATGTTATGCTCCACATATTCAGAAACTGTATAAAAGGAATTATTCATAAGATATAAAAACAGCCTATTTTTAAAACTAATTCTATCATCTTTAAGGCTTTGAATGGTTATGGGCAATCAGTTTAATGGCAGTAAACATAGTACCTTTCTGAAAAGCAGAAAGATTTGAGTTTGGCAAATATAATTGCTTTTGATTTCTTGTATTCAAACCATGAACATCAAAACCTGAACAAAATTTAGTTTGATTATCAATCACAAACATCATCAACGAGAGAATGTATTCACATGACAATGGCAGTATATTCAATTTCTTAAAAAGATCCCTACAAGAGTCTCTAGGTCCCACTCCAGATATAATCCTTATTACTTTTTTTTTTGTAATTTAAAAACTGTAACATTATTCGCTGAGTTGCCCCAAAAAAATATTCCATACTTAAGAATAGAGTGGAAATAAGAAAAATACACCATTCGTAAAATTTTTTACTCATAAAATAAGATAAACTCCTAATTACAAAAATAGCTGAACTAAGTTTAGGGAGAATATACTCTACATGACTCTTCCAGTCTAAATTCTTATCAATCTGCAGACCCAAAAATTTTATCACAGAAACTTCATTTATAAACAAATTCCCACTAGCAACTGCCAGAGAGTTATAGGACTGTTTTAGAGCAAACCTAATAATATTAGTTTTAGTGATATTTAAGGCCAACTTATTAGCTGTGAACCAATTTATAATAAGAGACAGTGTACCCCTGACTTTATGCTTAAGCTCATCATGATTATTACCAGTAACCAAAACACTGGTATCATCAGCAAAAAGAAAAACTTTAGCCAATTTATTAATATATGGAGGCAAATCATTAATGTAAATAATAAATAGAAGTGGTCCCAAAATCGACCCCTGCGGAACCCCTTGTTTAACTCTTTCCCAAGATGAAAAATAGTCCTGACCATCATTAGTTTTGATGTACACACACTGTTTTCTATCCCATAGATATGATTTAAACCAGTTTAATATACAACCCCGGACACCATAATACTCTAGTTTAGATGTCAATATCTCATAATTAACACAGTCAAAAGCCTTAGCAAGGTCACAAAAAATCCCTGCAGTTTGCAGTTTGTCATTTCAGGCCTGAAGTATGCCAGTCGTAAAAGAAAAAGCAGCATGGTCTGTTGAAAATTTTTTCCTAAAGCCAAATTGTTCCTGCACCAAAATATTATTAACTTGTAGATGCTGACTCAATCTACAATGCATAACTCTTTCCAAGACTTTACTAAATACAGTCAACATAGAAATAGGTCTATAGTTCGTAATATCAACCTTATCTCCTTTCTTATACAGGGGCTTTATAACAGCATACTTCAAGCGTTCAGGAAATACACCATTAATGATAGACATATTACAGATGTAGGAAAGGGGCGCACTTATAAAGACGCTACAAAGTTTTAATACTTTAGATGAAATCCCATCATAACCAGAAGACTTCTTCGATTTTAAAGAACAAATTAAATTGATAATTTCTCCTTTGGTTACAGGAATTATTTTCATACTATGAAAAATAGGATGAAAAACGTTCTTTAATAATTCAAGAGGTGAACTAGTTTTATCAGGATGTGTTTGCAGGCTATGAGCAATATTAAAAAAATACTCGTTGAAAGCATCAGCTACATCATTAGATTGAATGTTCCTATTATCCATTTTAAACATGACCGGCATATGATTGTCTTTGGTGGATTTATGCAATTCATTTCTTATAATATTCCATGCTGTTTTATTTCTATTATTAGAAATTTCAATTAACTGATTATAATATTTTTTTTTGCTTCATAAATTACTTTCCTTAAAATAAGACAATATTTTTATAATAAGTTTTTACTTTTGCATCGTTACTATATTCGATTAACTTATATAAAAGTCTTTTACGTTTACAAGATGTCTTTATACCTGTAGTAATCCATCTTTTATCATTGTTATTGCTCAAGTACACAACAGGGAAGCTTGCTTCATAAATGTTTAAAAATGTAGATAAAAATTTATTAAAAGCACAATTAACATCAGTATTAAGATAAACTTCATTCCATTTTTCATAAGATAGCTGTTCAGTGAAATATTTAATAGTTTCACTAGTCAGCAATCTAGATTTATAACTAGATCTTGATTTATTGTTAATTTTATTGGTGGTAGCAAAATATTTATCAAGTATAAAACATTGTGACTCATGATCAGACAGTGCATTACATAGGGGTAATGTTATACAAGAAGATAATCTTGATTTATCTACTAAAATATTGTCAATAGCTGAAGCATGATTATTTTGCAGTCTAGTCGGGAAATTTACAGTATGTACCATATTGAAAGTGTTAAGTAATACAGTCAATTGCTGTTTACGGTTATCGTTTAGTAAATAATCAACATTAAAATCTCCACATATTAATAATTCAATAGATTGTTTATACAAAAACAATAAAACTTGTTCTAACAGATTCAGGAATTGACAAAAATCACCTGCAGGAGATTATATAGCCAAACAACAACTAAACCCTGACCATTAGATTCTATTTTAACAGCACATAATTCTAAAATTTTTTCCACACAGTAAGTTGATAAATCAACATGACTAAAACATAATTCTTTATGAACAAATATACAAACACCACCTCTCTGATACCTACATCTAGAGTAGCAAGACCATAATTAATAATTTTCAGTACTAACAAGACTTAAATTGTTGTCTGACATATAGTGCTCTGAAAAACAGAGAAATTGTGGACTAATCTTATCTACATTTAGGGAAACAATTATTTCATCCCTTTTACTGATGAGACCTCTGATATTTTGATGTAAGAGAATCAGGG